CCTGCCATGCAGCATCTCGATCTGTCTCCAGTCTTCTGGTGCGTAGTTGAAACATTTCTGTGTGACTTGGCCACAAATGTGTAGGAATCTCTCCCAGTCCCCGTGGGGTTGTGCCAAATGTTTTTTCTCTATGACCCTTCACCATGTCAAAACGTCCTCTTTTGGAGAGGAAATGGTCTTCATTCCACACTGCAGTCTGGAAGCCGTGATGGGAGCAGCTTTAACAGAACTTTCTTTGCGTGTTTTATCCATTTCGACCCAAAGTGAGACGAAGATTTAGAGGTCGGTCTAAGCTCTTGTCTGAGCTGTAATCTCCTCCCTCAGCTCGCTGTATAATTTAGTGTTTTATGGAGATATTGTTGTTCTGTCAGGCTGTCATTTCAGGGGCTCCTGCCACCGTATAGAACTGCCTGTAAGCGTCAGGGAGGGGCAGCCTGGTCTGTTTGTTTAATTCGTCTGCTCTGAAATTAATGTGCATAGCTCTCTGTCATTTGACATTTTTGCTTTGTTTAAATGAAGTCAGACAGAAAGAAACACACCACACATCCTGTATGAGCCCATTAATGTTCTAAATGCTGCTCATGATGTGGGAAGCCTAAGTACATTTTAGAAAACGTCAGCTTTTGTTTGTTGGTAGGACCAGAATATGTGCAGTGAATTAAACAAAGAAACAGATGGTGAGTATGTGGAGGCATCACTGAACTGAAAAGTGTTGCCTGAACACTGACCCCAGACCCTTAGAGGAGTTGAAAAGGAGGCTTGAAGGATCCAGAGCTGGACCAATCAGGAGGAAAGAGGAAGTTCAAACCATCTCTTATTGACAGAAGAGGTAAATATTGTTTTGTGAAGCATCAATCCAAATTAGCAGAAAGTTTTCCTCAAATGTTTAAAATTATCAGCTGTAATTATTTGATTAAATAAAAAACCATAACAGAAAATGTTCTGTAAGAAGTGACTATTTACGGGCTGGTTAAAGCTGGAGTACATCCATCCATCCATCCATTTTCTGAGCACACCTCCTTCCTAACGCTGGTGCCTATCTACAGCTGCGTTCCGGGCTAGAGGCGGGGTTCACCCTGGACAGGTCGTCAGTCTGTGCTGGAGTACATACAGTAACTTTTGTTAAAAGTATTGCTATGTTGTGATGGATAATTTGTGAAAAAAATCAAGCTTATCATAAACCAATATCCTATCTGATCTGGTCTCATTGGCTGCTTTTACTGTCATACTCCTGCTTAACAGAAACAGTTTCCTATCATTCCTATGTGGATGAAATTTTCTTCATCCACATTGAAATATTATTTTCAGGAATACTTCCTGTCTTCTGGGAATGAATAAGCAACCTCAGTGAACTTGGACACAAAGCAGAGATGTGCAGAAATACAACAGTTTTTGGCTAGAAATGGCCCTCTGGTCTTATTTTCTACCTTATTCCAACAGTTTTACTCCAACATGCAGAATGTTCCACAGGAAAGCCTCCCCAAAGATGGACCGCTTCCCTGTTCTCTCCGTAACGGTTTGAGTCACTCTGGCGAACGCTACAACACCACAAGCATTTCAAAAATCCTCTGCAGCTTTTCCTAAGAGCAGGACAGAGGGCCAAGATTCTGAGTAGAACTGGAGAAGTTGGAGGTTACTGCCTTCAGTTTTCTTTCTGCACACACACACACACGGACAGGCACACAGCGATTGGAGCTCCCCTACAGGAAGTGTGAGCTCTTCTCATCTGTAGAGGGAACCAACATCCAGACACTGTGCTAGCTGCCACATCACACCAGACGCTCCACATTCCTGATGAAGGTTACTCAGTTCAGCATGATGACCTAAAACTTTGTAGACCAGATAAAGGCATCTTTGCACATCCACTCTTCACCCCGTTGGTGCACATGTTTTCTTCAGTTGTGCACAAGTTTGACATGTTGAATATGAACTTTGAGAACCCCATTTTGTGCAACTAAAGTGATTTAACAGCTCATTTCCCTTTTTACATAAGCTCCAAATAGTTGCATAAGCCTGTGTAAGTGTGCTTTTGAAACCCATGCTGCGTCTTGGCAACAAATATGCATTCCCAGGTTGCAGCAAGAAAACATGAACTGGATTCTGGTCCCATAACTGTAAGTTTTTACGCTGGCAGTGTGACTTACTATGCAGGCTGTTAGTCAGTTCATGGTTACCTAATAACTCAGCAGGAGGGATGCCAGCTACACACTAAGAAAGGATTCCTGCTGTCTTTGGTGTTGGAGTTCTTCTGTAACCCTGCAGCGCTGGAGTGTTTCTCCCATGCAGGTGTGCAGCTTTCTAATGCTGCTTCCTGTCAGCTGCAGTTTACAGCATCACATCAGAAGGACATTAACCCACTCAGAGGGTACAAAGGCAATTTTGTAAGGTTTTGAACTCTTCAACCTAGGGATGACCAATAAACTAATTAAAATTGAATAAAAAAGATCTTCAAAAAAACTTAAATTAATTAAAAAGACGAAACTTTTGCAAAATCTGAACTGTCAAATATATTGATACACTGGAAGTTTAAGTCAATAATTCCTTAATATTGATTTAAAAGAGTAATATTTTCTTTGGCCGATTACTTCACTTTTAATGTGGAATAAACTGCCAATGGAACAAGTTTATTTTCATCAATGTTAAGAAAGTATTGCAGCTCCTATATGTCAGCAAGCTTCTATATCTGTCAGTATTTTTCTTATTTCAAATGCATGAATTTATTTGTGCTGGAAACTAGACCAAAAATACTTGGTAAGTTTTATGGTGGAAATTTACTGTTTTCTCTATCTACACTGGGCCTAATAAACTGTCATACAAGCTGGATGCAAAAAATATTTTGTGACATTTAACAAAGTTGATATGTCTGAAAAACCACAAAATGTACATTTTTATTTTTTGAATTGCCTTATTTTCATTAATCAAACAAGCATTTACCTCCTTGCCAAGTGGCAGCCATGCTGGTCACTGATTGAACGGCGTAACAGAATGATGGTGAATAGTTTTTGTAGAACATCTCAGTGTTAATTAGCTCTTAAAAGAAGAGCTGGAAACGGAGCCTGAGGTCTGTGAAAGCGGCTGGATGCCGATCACCTCCCCCACATGACTAATAAGCACTGCAATGTTTATGGACTGCAGGGCTGCTAGCAGCTAGCCTCAACTTGTCCATGTGAAAGCAGCTGAATTTGCACTCCTTTCATCCTCTTCACACATAGAGGCGTAAAACCTCATCAAACTTCTGGGTGCCCAAACAGTCATTTAAGGACACATTCCCAGCACTGGTGCCATTAGTCAGCCACATGCCGCTCATCGTGGCGGCATCTGAGCAAAGACTGGGAGTGGTGCTGCAGACTGCCAAGTTAGAAAATAACACAATAATAGGCCCACACTCAGTTTTTCCTCCTGAAATGTGCACAGCTTTAAAGTTTAGGTGGAAAATTAAAGTTACGGCATGTCTGAGATTCCAGACAAAGTGTTGCTTAACGCTGACCACTCAGCTGATGATCAGACACAATACTTCCTCCTGACACCCAGGAGTCCCTGACCTCTTTGAGAAGACGTTTGTTTTTTCTCCTTACTGCCCTGCGGCTCTGCTCACTGACTAAATGTTCTCAACTTTTAGGAAGATTCTTGGACAGAATCAGCAGCCACTCCTAAACTGTGATTTAATTTACAAGTGATCCACATCCTCCATAGGCGGCACTCCTCTGTTGGGTCATCGTTTCATGTCCAGTGTATTTCTAAGTTCAGAGTGTGGAACTTTGTGAAAAGGTGTGTTTAATCTAAATCCTTATCCAGCATTTAAGATTTTTGTGTGACACAGAAGAACTCAGAATGTGACTAATAGAGCCTGAAGGAAATCTGTTTGAGATTGATAAGAATAAGAAATGATAAAGAAATTAAATTAAATAAGAAATTCTTTAAGTCAGTATTATAAAAAATTTAAATTTTTTTTTAGCTTTCTAATGTTATTCACTTAAGGAAAACAATCCTGGAGTGTTGCCTCGATACTTTCATGCATGTTTGAGAAATTCTTCAGTCTCCTTTACATGGAACATGCATTGTTGGAAGAAGTTTGAAAGAGATCATCAGGCAGCGTGTCTTGGTGAATAAAAGCCCATCTGTAGGTGGTGTTTAATGGAAAAATAACAGGGTGTTGCCCTTTGCTCCAGTATCCAACAACCAACCACCACCGGCCTCCAACTGGACGTCAGCACTGGGAGACATGTGGAAATGAAATCTCTCCATGAAATAAAACAAAAACTTGAAGACTGCAACCTTGTTTAGCTGCAGATATTATATTATGTCTTTTAATTAGCTGGAACAAAAGCTGCTTTAGCTTTTTCTTGATTATTTATTAATGCCATCAGCTGACAGTATTTGTCATGTTATATAAAATATTGTTGTTGGTTTATAAATCACTGAACGGCTAAGCACCACAATACATTAAAGATCTCCTGTTGTTGTACCAGCCTTCTCGGCCCCTGATTCTGCTCTGCATCCCCAGAACCAAATGAGGAGAAGTAGCATTCAACATCTATGCACCGTAAATTTGGAACAAACTTCCAGAAAACTGCAAAACAGCTGAAACTCTGACTTCTTTTAAATCTCAACTAAAAACCCACATGTTCAGAATTGCATTTGAAACGTAATCAATTATGAATTTAATGATGGAACTTGACTTAATGTAATGTTTTGATTGTTGAATCTATATTGCATGACTTTGTGTTTTTGTGTTTATGATGTAAAGCACTTTGAAATGCCTTGTTGCTGAAATATGCAGTACAAATACAATGTGATTTGATTTGAAGTAAGACAATAAGACACTTTAGATTCCATGGTAATGAAAAATAAGCCAACAAATAATTTTAACTTAACAACAACACACTTGTTGCACATTAGGTGTTTGGTGAAAAGGTCTCCAGTGTTTGTGGAAAGCATTGTGGTTGTGCTTCCTTAATGCTTCCCTCTCTCACTTTGCTGCTGCTTTCATGTCGTTCCAGGTCATGGAGAATGCCACTGTGGGGAGTGCAAATGCCACGCTGGCTTCGTGGGCGACAACTGTAACTGCTCCACAGAGACGTCGCTCTGCTTCTCGGATGACGGGAAGATGTGCAGTGGGCGAGGGAGCTGCGTGTGCGGCCGCTGTCAGTGCACCGAGCCTGGGGCGTTTGGAGAGACCTGCGAGAAATGCCCCACCTGCCCCGATGCCTGCGGCACCAAAAGGTGGTGCTCACACACACACACAGAAACAAAATACACACTCAGTATTGCGCTATGACGTCAGGGACTAGTTTGGTCAACAGGTAACAGGCGTGAAATATTGATGGCAAAGCGTCCATCTGAAATAATGAACCCTGTAGACAGCACAGGCAGGATTTTCCACAGTTTTTACACTGAATAACTGCCTGTTACTGTAAGTTGAAATAGTTTTGAATAAAAGAACTCTCTCATCGTCACGCATCTTCACCAGAGAAGGTTTTGCAAATATACATAATTTAGATAAATTCGAATTATAATTTAAAAAATTGCAAAGAGGAAAATTGGTAAAAAATTTAACTGACCTAAAACAGAAGTTTGGTTTGATTTAACTTCAGAGAGAAGAAAAATTTTCTTTTTACTCAGAGAATATAAACCTTTGGTTTTAACTGAAAGTTCATTTCACATGAATTTGGTCATTAATATTTGGCCAAAATGATCCATTAGTGAAATGTTAAAAACATTTGTCTATTCTTTTAGAATCATTTTAGATATAGGAGATAATTTCTGGATTAAAAGTAAATTTGGGCTCATTATTACGTTTCTTTCTGTGAACTTTGACCTCCCCCCTTCTTTGCTCCAGGGAGTGTATTGAGTGTCGGCTTTTCAACTCTGGTAGACTCGCAGACAATGAGACCTGCCAGCGCTTGTGCAAGGATAAAATTATGACTGTGGAGAGCCTTGGTGAGTAAATGCACATGCATATGTACACGTGCACTCACATGCATCCTTGTACTTCTATCAAACTTTGCATTGACTTCCATTCATTTTAGTACCTGCATTTATGCCTATCCCAGACAATTCCCCTGACCATGACTTAACATTACAAGTACATTCATAACCTTAACCAATATATTTGAACTCGACTAGTAGAACACATTCCAACTGGAAAATAGAGAGAACCAGCAAAATGTCTTCATGCTCCACAAATGACTTGCCTTTGTTGGTGAAGGTTATTATAGACTTCTATATGTACAGTATACAAGTACACACATATGCACACACACACACATACCCCATCTAGAGCTATGGAGAAACAGCTTTTGTTTTTGCATCTATCGTGGGTAAGTGCAAATTTATGTCTGGTTGGTTGGATGACGTTCATATTTGCCTCTTGCGCTGCTGTTGCCATCCTGTACAATGCTACGGTCATTTTGTGCTTAAAGGCTTGGCACTGAGACTGCAGAGAGTGTGAGAAGATCAAAGCTTCTGGCAAGAGTCACAAACACACCCCAGAAGTGGCGAAAACTTCCCAGAAAACTGTCGCCTCCGCTGCTACTAGCACTAATCTAAGAGTAACATATGGTGGGACACAAATTCTGAAATTGAATGTTTGGTAGATTTTAAAAACAGTGGTCAATTACCAGTTTAACATACTAAAGATGTTACCATAGAGAGGAATACAGTTGAGAAGGAGGAGAAAAGAAGTAGAACATGGAACCAAACCGGAACAGAGAACATAATCGCTAAAAATAAACATCTCTTTCATCTCACTGACTGTCACTGAGAGGAAACTGACCAGAAAATTCCAAACAATCTGTAAGTGTGTTAAGCTACACCTTTCTCAAACAAAAGAGTGAGAATGTCCTGGTTAAGATAAGGTAGAAATCCCTGATAAGCAAATCAAGCCTGTTACTATGACTTTGAACTGGAAACATGTTTTTCATTCTCAGGGATCATTTATGAGGTCAGTTGGCCATCCATGCACGCTCACTTCTAAAGCAAAGAACATGTAACTGTGCCTGTTGCTCCAACTCCACTCATGTAGTTTAATACGGTCAGCAGTTAGGGAAAATCTGCATACTGTTGTCCGAGTAGCAGCTTATTCCACTTAAGGGTAAGAGCTTAAGGGTACTGTAGTCCCTCTACCATGTACTCACCCAGAATGCATCTTGATCAGGTGTCCTGATGTCAGCCGACTCCTTTACAATGCAGAAGAGTTTCTAGCTCCTGGTGGATGAAGGAGCTCCTCACTTGATTCCTAAGGCTGTTAATTCTAACCAACTGCATCTGGGATCTGGAGTTTTTCAGGTGAGGGTTTGGAGGCTGACTGTATTCACCACAACAGGCCAGAGCAATGCCCAGACTCCAACAATCAATGCTCCAGCTCATCGATGAATTTCTTAGTCTTGAAGCTTTTTACCCAGTCACGGTTTGTCATTGTTGCTCCAATACCAATATGGTGACAACTAAATGCTGATAGTTGGGATCTAAAGCCAGTGGGTGACTTCATTGTGGCTGCTTCCATCGTTTACTGTCTGTGGTTTCTTCCTAATTTCCAGCAGACTTTTAGTGGTTCAGCCTCTGTTTAGCTATCGTCTCTCCTCACCGTTGGTCTCTTATTAAGATATTCTTATCCCCAACATCTATGTTGCTGTGCTGTGAGCTCATAGATATGTTCAATAATAACATGATCACAATAAATAAAATCAGAACTGACTGTAGTCTGAAGAAGCCTAGAACAGAGCAACTCAATTCTCAAACATTCTGGTGACCACCCAGTGTTTCTAAAAATGGAAAGTAAAAGATTCACATCAGCAAAGGTTTTCATAGTCTTTGCTAAGTACTGGTTGAAAAACATTTGATTATTAGTCTGTTGTGTTCGAATGGGGGCAAGTGTTTAGTATGCATAATACCAAGCACTGTGACATTAATAGCCTGAGCTAATTTGCAGTGCGTGTCACCAGATGGACTTTTAACCACACATTGTTGTATTGTTTTATTTCATAGTAAAACAATACAACAAGAGAGCAGAATGTGAGCAAAACCTGCAAGAAATTAGCATGACTGGCTGTAACCATGGCTACAAACCTGCTTCTTTTTAAGATGCTCTTTCTTCCTCAGTTTAGAAATGTGCCAGTCAGAAATCTGTTTCCAGTCCTCATGTGAGGAACTCCACATGTTGATGGCTTTCACAGCCTCAACACTTCTTCAGGATGCTTCTAGAAGCCTGTCACAGCCTTTGTTTAGGCCTTTTCTGTCCTCACAAGCTTAGTCGTATGAACAGCACCAAAAACCATTTATAGCTCTTCCCGGAGATGATCTGTCCCATTTAAGTCCAGGTTTTGGCTAGACCACTCAGGGATATTCACTGAATCTTGTGAGTTCTCTCATTTGCTTAGTCTGAGGTTCACAGCATTCTTAAAGAAACTTTATACATCTGGTTTCAGACATTTTACCCACTATGCAGACTGGTTGTGCACTTTCTGCTACAAAGATGCATCCCACAGAATGATGAGCCACCACCATGTTTTACCATGAGGGATGTTGTTCACCAGGTGACTAATTCCTGTTTCCTCTCCAGGCATGATGTTTGGAGTTCAGTTCATAATGTTCTATTTTGGTTTCGCCAGAAAACTTTTCACACCAAACTTTTCTGGAAACTATTCTTTTTTGCATCCTGGTCTCAGATGGCTACAGAGAGTTCTTTTCACTTCATAGTTTGGTTGAGTTAGTGGATCTACCTTTCTGGCTTTCTGACTTCCAGTTGGAACACTGGGAATTTGGTGGAAATTCAAGTAAAAAAATAAATAAATAAAAGTTACTTTTTTTTTCTAACTTTGAAATATTTCTCTGACCTAGTAATAATTCTGTCTTCAGAAGCTTTCAATACTTACACCTCTACAAAAATTGGAAATCAATTTTAGACATACCACGGATATTGTCTGAGTGTTGCTCAGAGGTAAGAACAAAGCTTTGCCAGTGCTGCTTTAGAAGGATAAAATGGTCTGTGGTGTGTAATCAAGAGGAAGGGTCACTAACCCGAAGCAAACCTTAGAGAAAGAAGATCCAAACAAACCCAGTGACCCGGTCATCTGGGAAAGCGGAGAAGTCCTCAGGAATTCTTTTCAGGTTCTTTTTATTAAAGTGAGACGGTTTTGGTCATGACCGTTCCATCCAACGAGAGCTGACTGATGAAGCCGTGTGAGTAAAATGTTGAGGTGCACTGGTTAGGATTTTCCCCACTGATACCACTTCATACTCTGGCCTACTCTGATTTTCAAGTTATACATCCACACTTTTGCGTTCATTTAAACTAAAAATTAAAACGACATTTTAGCCACAGTAAAGGCTAAAATGTTGTTTTTAAGGGTGTAACAAGATCTTGTGATTTTAAAATGCTGCAGTATTTCTTGTCTCACAAAGCTCCATCAGCCTAAGCAGTTATAATAAACCCCGGATTAGAAGGGGAGTGCTTTACAACTTGCACTCCATGTCTAATGAAATAAGAAAGTAAGTAGCTCTTGACTTGTCCTGCTCTTTCACAGTCGACAGACTGGCGAGCGAAACATAAACACCAGAGGAGCCTTCAGAAGTGTTTATTTGCAGCAGTTTTAGTTACTCATTAGAAAAAACATATTGTGACACAGAGACAGAAGAAATTTGATTTTTAAGCACAGTGAGAACAACATAGGCATCTAGCTGTTAGCTACTAACGTTGCTAAATTGGCGACTTGTAGCTTGAGGAATCTGGTGAAACATACAAACATATGAAACTGATTAAACTTGAACATGGACACTGCAGAAAATATTCACTAGTCAATTTGGTTGAAGATTCTGTATAATATGATTTGGAATTTATTAAACTTTCACTATTTTTATTTCTAATTTGGAAAAAATTGTTACAAACTCACCTGGTCTGACTCTCATGAATCCAAACCTCTCTTGAGCTTGTTGCATTTTTACACCTCAAGTAGTTTAGAATCCAACAGAATATTAGTTTGCAAGCTTCTTTCCATTTTTACACAAATGTTTATGCTATAAAACTTTATTTTAAGATTTTCAGTAACTCTCCAATCACCCTTCAGAGCTTATCAACAGCTGAGTCTCTGCTCAGCTGATTGGTCTGTTACTGTTTAGTTGGTTTGTTATACTTGAGCATGAAATTATATATTCAGGATAAAATATTGATTTGCCCTATTTGTGACGGGCATCTCAGAAGAGTGAAGCAAGTCTTCAGTCATGGTTGTTTTATTTTTGGAAGGCCTGATTTAGAGTTACCACACATAACCAGAGAATATTTTCCTGTTATTATAATTCCATATGAGTCTCTTTAGTTGCGCCGTTGATGTGGCTAAGGCTAAAATGAAATGTTTTCTGCAGACGTCAGCTTTTCCCAAGCCTTAAATATCTCCAGCTTTTATCTGATGTGAGATCTCCCCTTTATATTCCTGTATCCACTTATTAGCATTAACCAGTATTTTCAGCGTTGATGATCAGAAGGTACATGTATCCTGGGATCATATGCTTTCTGGTAAAACTATAGTCATCTAATTAACAAAGCCTAGCTGTTATTATTTGCTAAATAGTTATATCTCAGTTAGATCAGTCTGCATTCAAAGACATCACTACTTTCATCCAGACCCAAAGAAACCAGTCCAAACTGCAAAGGCAGCGTCTGATAAACTCCCCATCAGAGAGTAACTTACCATATCTTACATTTTTGTGGGATATTACAAATATGTTCCTAACTGGTGAAAAGTGGAGCTTTGTGAAACATCCTTGTTGCTTTCTCAGTTTAACTAGCAAGGTTGTCAGTGGGCCATGACTTGCCCTGGTCTGGTTTAGAAGATGGATTGAACACTCTGAGTTGTTCAAAGCTTGGCCTATCTGTTACATCATGAACAAAGGTGTCAGGTGTCAAACTGCAGAGCCTCTCCACCTGTTGCAGCCCCTCTCATTGGGTTAAAGGTTTCCTCCATTCACACTCAGATCCTCCGCAGACCTCATCAGTCACCTGCGTCCACCCATTGAGCAAATACACCTTCTGCCAGGCTCCGCCCCTCCATTCTGTATTTCCCATAAGCCAGTGGATGGAGCCTGAGTGGCCAGAGAAGAGTGGAGCAGAGTGGAGTAGAGTGGAGCAGTCTGATGTCCCTGACTTTGTCCTTCCATTCCTCCCAGCCTCCCAGCGGTGGCTGGATGTGTAGGGGACGTGTCAATGATCCCCCGTTGGTTTGAGAGCATGGCGCTTGCAGCGAGATGTTCAGAAACATTCCACTGCGACCCGGCATGGCCCCGCTTCCAAGTCTGACGTGTCTCTGCATTCTCTGCTACTCCAGCCATCTGAGCGGCCCTAATGGACTCCACATGTACGTTCCGGATACTTTGTGCATGACATAGAAGAGGAGGGCCGGAGGGAAGAAGGGAGGAGGAATGGCCTCACCCTCCCTCGTGAGGTTTGGGGCTAGACTGACTGAAAACAAGGACATCCACAAAGTCAGCGCCACCATCAAGAAATGAGGGTCTTGTTTGGTAAAGCTGTGACCTGACAAACCATCAGGCAGTGTTTGAGAATCCTCCTTCTCCTTTATTCAACACTAAAGGGGAAAAGAAAATCATAATTCCCAGTTCTGGGAACTCTGAATGGATTCAAAAATCTAATCAATAAAAAAACAAAAATCTATTTAATGTGTTTAATTTGTATGTCTATGTTTGTGAGTACACTTCGTATTCGGACACGTCCATTTTGCCACCAGAGAGGGCCGTCTCACTTACTGTTTGTATATTTTGGGTCATGTTTTTAAATGTTGTTTTTTATTCAAGAAAAAGCTAAGGACACAGCTAAGAAACCTGAATACTGGTTATAGAAGTTGCAGAATTTTATCCTGTATTTCTGTTTAAATATAAACTGATGGAATTTGGATAGAATGAAGTAAATGTTCTGTTTGTTTTCACTGTTCTTTCCTCTTGTCAGTCATCATTTAAACAGACTTTCCAGACAGTTTGAATAGAACAACTGGATTCTGAATTAAAATTTGTTTCTGAATCAAATCGTGACCCTAAAACTTGGAATTGAATCACTGAAATATTTTTCATGTCTCATGTCCGCAAAGCAACTAAACAAACTAGAAACCTGCTTCGACTAACATTTGCCATGAATGATCCCTTTTTTTTCAGTTTTTTGTTTTGACCTTGATGTTTTCAATTGACTTCATCGCCTCTGTTTATTTACCGATGAGAAAAACTCCTGTTCCTGTCTTCCATTGCTGTGCAGAAAATGAGGACCCTGCAGCGGTGTTGTGTGTGTATAAGACGGACAACGACTGTGTGATGAAGTTCACGTACCTGGAGCACGCCAGCGGACGCTCCATCCTCACCGCACTCCAGGAGCCGGGTCAGTGTTTCACTTCGGTCAACTAAAACTGAATGAGTTCTGTTTTGGGTTTTCTGTCCCTCTTAAATGTTTCACAACAATTAGTTCAGGAATGAGACTGAAACGACCTGAGTGAAAATGGAAGGCGGTTTTCAAATCAAGATTTTATTTCTTAAGAGGTGAAAAGTTTACCAAACCAACCTGATAGCATGTGAAAATATTATTCTAGTTTCTAATTGTTCCACCTACTTTATGTTATCTGGCAGGGTCAACTTTAAAAAATAAAAATCCTGCTACAGACTTGGCTGTTATCTACAGAAGAGGATTAGGGCCACTGACAGAAAAAATATATAATAATTCTGACTTTTGTTTCCAGTCCTACAGTTGAAACCAGACATTTACATTCACCAATTAAAATCTTTGGTTTATTTTTTCTCACTGATTTCTGTGAAATCAGACCAAACTTCTCTTGTTTCAGGTCAGCAAATAGAAATAATTTAGGCAAATCTAACTTACCTAAAGAAATTTTGTCTGATTTAACTTCAGATGGTGAGAATAAACTTTTTCTTTTTCTTTTTTGGGTGTACGTAAATATCTGGTTTGAACTTCCCTTTTTCCCAAGACTGTCTCAATAAATTTCCTTTAGACTGGACGGGCCTAAAGAAAGCTGAATGAGAATGAGTCTTTGTTTTAGCTGTAATTATATGTAAATTACGTAAGTGATGCATTATATGTTTGTAATGCATATTACAAACACGTATTACATGTAAAATATAATTTTTGGTGTTCCATCTGGACGTCTGCAGGGATGATGCGGACGGCTGTGGTTGAATGTTATACAGAACAAAGATGCAATCTGGTAACCCTGAGTTTACATTGAAACTGGAACCGAGATCTGAGAACCTTCATCTGAACCTGGGCTGTGGTTTTGTAGTTCACCACATTTTAACACATTTATTCGGAACCAGGATACGGTGTCAGCAGAGAGAGCTTTTGCAAATAACTTAAAAATGAAGTAATTTCATGACAGCAACAATTTTTAGACAATCTTCTTTAAATGAGCAAATCCAATCAAGGAAGATGTCTTAAAATAGTTCATCTTGGATTTAAAACTGAGTTTAGGAGGGGAAAACTGATGTAGAACATCTGCTTCAGGTCAAATTGAAACTCAGTTTCTTCAAAAAAAATAACCTCCCAGCAGGTAAATCTGTTACCGTGGTGATGTATTCATATTTTTCAGTCTATTATGAATCTAAACCTGACATCTTGTCTTTCTTTGTGACCTGTTTAACTGGACGACACCTGGCGCAGAGTGTGGAGGTGGTCCGTCTGCCTTAAAGGTCCTACTGGCTGTGGTGGGCACTATCTTACTGGTGGGAGTGGTTCTGCTGGCCACCTGGAAACTGGTCATCACCATACACGACCGGAGAGAGTTTGCGCGCTTCCAGAGCGCTCGGGTCCGCGCCCGGTACCTCATGGTAAGGAAGACGTCTCCGGTCTTTTCTACCAGAATTAGCTTTAGCTAGCATGAACTGCTTTCTGACCATTGTGTTGGTGGCACCCAGCAGCCGAACAGTCCTAACCATGTGGATATTTATGTCCCATTTACAGTAGAGTCAACATCCTGAACTTTGTGCAGCTTGATTAAAGATGCAGTATGTAACTTTTACACCACGTTGTCACCACGTTGTGACAGTTTGCTATGAGACAGATGAGCAGTATAAGAAAAGAGTTTATTCACAGTTGTCAGCGGCCATGCTAACTAGCCTTAGCATTCATGGCAGGCCATGTTGTAGTGAACCAGCTGTAACATCGCAGAGAGAAAGGAGGAGAGTGTGAGCAGCGTGTATACAAAGATGATTGACAGCACGAAGACCCTCCTGCTGGCTCTGATTGGTTGTTTCTGACTGGTGTCGTTCTGTAGTTAGCACTGGGAGAGGGCCGGCAAGTATGGATTTCTTCACAGATTGTCTCATATTATTCTGTCACGTCATAATGCTAATTTTATTTTAATTTTTATGCAGGAATTGTACTTATTGATCTTTTTTTGTACTTAGTGTATTGTAGTACTCGTCACTTTTTTAAATGTTTTTTTTTTTCTTCCAGGCATCCAACCCTCTGTACAAGGACCCCATCACCACTCACTTTGCAGAAGTGGAAACATTTGAGAAGTCTTTTAACGGCGGGGTCCACTGATCCCTCTGCACGGGGCACGGCAGGACCGGTCCAACATACAGACCCCTGAATGACAGAGGACAACAGCCTGAACATACCCCTCCCTGCTTTATTCCCTCCCTCTGCTCTCCGCCTGTCCACGCTGCTGACAAACAATTCAAACGAACCCAGAAGACTTTGAGTCTCATATTTTTGTTCCTGAAGAGATTCAAACAGACGATTAAACTCAGAGCGTGGAACAGACTCAAACTGTGGATGTGCAGCTTACACAAGATAAACTCCCAACTCCAACCACATAGGGCAGCATGTACTGTACAGGATATTGGCTTATATTTCCATATTTTCAGAAATACTAAAGACACAGTTGAGAAATGAGCTCTTCACTCAGCAGGACTCTGATTTGCAGCATATTACTAGCTTATATTTCTAAAGAAGGTTGTAATGATCATTTGATATTTACTAATATTTACTAAGCAACAGATGTCTTACCTTTATTTTGCACATATGGTCTTAAAATGTCTAATTCTGTAAAGATATGTTTGGGTTGATCACATGATGCAGTTGCACTCTCTTCTGTTAATCTGAATAGCAGGGCATTAACAAACTAACACCTGGACATGAACTGACTGCACTCGGGTTCCTCAGTATTGTCTTGTGATGTCAGTGGGAACCAAATTGCCACACCTTGAGTTCAAAGAGAAGCTCCAATCAGAATTTAGCTCCCAGTTTTTTATAAAGCTTGACCTGCTGACCCCAGTTTGACTGATTCTGGATTCCCTTTAAGAACTAAAATACACAAAGATTTATAATGAGCATTGAACATATTTTCCTCTTGCCTTCCTGTTGTGATCATGTCATCTACAAATGAGGAGCAGAGGTGGTGGCCAGTGAGAGAGTTGATGTTTAAACTGGCTGTGATGTCTGGTGTTAGCCATTCACCAGTTGAATGAAAAGTGAAACCAGTGCACCGTTGCCCTGGTTTCCCATTACTTACTGACCTCTTGTTCTGTTTCAACGCATTCTGTAAAACGTCTCCGTGCCTCTTCTGACTTTAGTTTGAGCTTTCTTGACTCAGTAAAGGACCCAGTATGGTCGACCTGAAGTCGAACTGTCGACTCGCAGTCATGTGGTTTCAAAACGATCTTTTTCGCACACACTCTTCAAAGTCCACAAGCTGCACCGAGCCAAGAAAAAAGGAGCTTCTGCAAGCTGAGTAGTCAGAGCTACACAACATCACTGTCCCAGCACCTTTCTGTGTAAATAATCACAAAATTCTGTTCTGCCTGTAGAGTGCAATGAAAGGTTTGCCAGGGGGGTAGTGACAAGGAGGGGTGGACGACATCAGACTGAGATCAAAATGAAGGTATTATCGTCACACAATGGGCCCAACCACACAGAACCTTTAAGAACAACCAGAGTGTTCTACTTATAGTGACCTGGAAGAGTTTACTTTTAGTGTCTATTCACATGGGGGAAAATATGGGACTTTTGAAGTTCTAATGGCAGGTCACAGGTTAGCCTGATGATTCTGATCACCAGATCAATTCTTGGTGCATCTCTCGGTCAAAGCATCCTTTCTGTTGTTACTGAAAACACATGCTCTGTTATATTTAAACATTGAGTCGTTCCCAGTTGATTAAGTGTGAGGACCGCTCTTCTTTCAGTCCTGTTGGGACCCGTCTTCTTAGAAGGGAGGGAAGGTTTGGATTCTCTCATGAATTATTGACACAAATTGCAATTAAGACCCTTCGCAGAATGATATTAGAGAATTACAGTGGACAGAGTGTCACAGAGTGACAGTTTGCTTCAAGTCTTGAATGCATATCTCTTGTCTCTAAATGGCCATCCTACTTAGAGTCCTTAAAGATGGTGTGCAAGTCAGAACTTGTACATACTGACAAGGTAAAGCCTTTATTTTGCCCAGGGAATCTTCTATTACAACAGTAGCCTAAGATTCTAAGTGACTCACAGTGAGAAACACAGCCAAGAAAACAAATTAGGTCCAAAAGGAATGCTTTGATTTGGTTGTAATTGTGTCACCATGTAGATCAGCGTCAGGCCATGTTAATGATTTAATACCTATGACTAAACTGAGTGGGTGTGTTTGAGACACGCATATCGTCTTCCACTGTGTTGTCAAGGTACAGCCTAGCAACTGAGCTTCATGTCAGTTTAAACTCTTAAATACTTTCAAAGATCATTATTGTGATGTCATTTAAATTCACCGTGTCACTATATTGTGTACCTTAATAGCAGAGATCATGTGTATCTGCATTTCCATTACAAATCAGAGCAAATCTTTCTTCTGCTAATGTTGAAAAAACACAATTTTGCCATAATGTTGTTTCTGTTAAATAAGAAATTAAATGGCATGGCGCGCATCATCTGTCAGCCAATCAGAAGAGACGTTGGTGTCTTATTCAGGCGTTGGAGCAACAAGCAGGGGTGTCAACATCCAGTCCTCGAGGGCCGGTGTCCTGCAACTTTTAGATGTGCCTCTGCTGCACCACACCTGAATAGAATAATTAGGTCATTAGCAGGTCTCTGGAGATCTGATCTACACAAGAAGGAGGTAATTAAGCCATTTCATTCCTGTGTTTTGTACCTGTGGCACATCAAAAAAATGCAGGACAGTGGTCCTTGAGGACTGGAGTTTGACACCCCTGTACTAGGGAGTGGCTATGCATGTCTCGTTGGGGAAATTGTAGTCGGCCATTTTAAAGAAAAGTTATGGATTCAACACAATAGAACGACACAACATTTTATGAACTGTGATGCTGTGAGAGCTCAGGAGGAGCCAGCTGCACATTGCCCAAGAAACTGTCATCCTCCTACCACTTCCTGTTTGTCGTTTTCGCCAGTAGTTGCATGCGATTGTTGATCACATGACCACAGCAAAAACAAAACAAACTCATCTGACTCAAAACACATGAGGTTTTTTTTTTCCAGAAATGTCCTTGTTTCCATTAAGCCAATTTATTTTTGTAATTTCAATTAGTGCAATTTCCTGGTTATTAGAAATGCAGCTAGAGGCTGTCACTGATTTGCTGTTTAAACCTGTTGAGAGTTGTTGAGTTGTACTTTTTGGGTAGAAAAAGATTGCTATGTAGTTAATTGGTTGAATAGATCCAGATTTTATTCATGATTTTTTAGGGAAGATGAGCTTTGTTTGCAGTCCTGAATGCAGAGATGACTCAATGTTCAATGTTATGTTGTCTATGTCTGTCCTATCATCTCTTATATGAATACCAAACTTTATCTCTTTACTATTTCCAGTAAAGAGATGACATATCACCTGCCTTTTGCATGATAAAGAATGTGGTGTTGTTGGTGAACTTGTATAGTTAGCTGGTTGTCGTTAGCTGTGTTTGCATTTTCGATAATATGCTAATGCTGAAACACGTGAAAAGTCATTACAAAACTTCCAGCACCATCATCTTCCTGCCACTTCCTGTCATCTTCTTTGACGTGTCTGCCAGTAGTAACATCCCGCTGTTGATCAAGTGACTTGTGCCAAATAAAAAAGTGTTCCCATTGCAGATTTCAAAATACATCTATATGGCCCAAAAACAACCTCATCATAGCTCTTTTTTTAATTCTGAATTAAGCAAATGTATTTTTGTTGAACAGGGGAAATGATTGTTTTCTTTATGGTTGATTATTATGTTTTTTTGTTTGCTTTGCATGTAGAATGTTTTGGGGTTGTTGCTTTTCTTTTTCCTTTTCCCCTTTTGACAATCCAAACACCCTGGACTGAAGGTGGTTGTCTCGGGAGGCGGGGCGCACTAATTGGCCACCCAGACAGGTGTCAGCAGAGGCTGATTAGAGCCAAAATAAAAGGAGCTTGGCTGGGAAGAAGAGAGAACTGGTTCTGCAGCCACGGGAACTGACACGCTGCGGGGAGCAGACGGAGCCCGCTCATCCGGCACAAGCGATCGAGAGTTGGACAGACGGCCCAGTACAGAGAATCAGGGCAGAGGGTAACCTCTGCCCGCGCCTGTAAAGTTTCTTTCTGGTCGAGCTGATCCTGCAGAGAGCTGGCAAAAAGCACGTCTTCCGACGGAGTTCTGGTGCGGGGATGCTGGCGCTTTCCTGTTCTTTCCTTCTAGTTGGACCGAAACGTAAGGGGGCGTGGCACGCCGAGGAGTGGAGCGGTGGTGGAGCGCTGTGCGGCCGGCTGTAGTGCGCACTACACATAGATCACCGCCACGAACAAGAAAATAAGCGGAGCCCAACCTGTGGCCTTCAACGGGTGACCTTTTTTTTTTATGGAACATTGGATTTTATAAAGAACAGTTTTTATTGTGCCACTACTTGTGACTCTTTTGATTAAAATACCTTGCACCTGACTGCTCCGCTGTTTGGGTTTTTCGAGTTGTTTGCTCCCCCTTGTGTTGAAGACGGACTGTGGGCCAATTTGGCCTAACATTTTCATAATTCCAATTTGCACAATTATGCGTTCAATGGAAACATAGCTGTTGTGTGGGAGGATGCTTGTAAATATTTCTTGAGAGTGCCAAATGGATGGCTGTGTGTTTTTATTATGTTTGTCTCCTGGAAAAGAAATGTTCTTCCTGCAGGGTCTTTGAAGACATGTCCACACTCTATCTTGATGTAACAATAAATGGCTCAGTTCAAACACTTGTTCGTCGTCCAGTTCACATGTTAGAGACATGAGCTTCATTCTCCTCACACTTCATATTTGTGCAGCTCTATTAAAATACACTTGGGTTTCAGGTTGTAATGTGATAAAATGTGAAAGATCTTAATTCATTCAGTTAAGTCCAAAATTATTTCCACCCCTGGCAGAATTAGTCAAAAAGAATTTTCACTAGATTGAAATAAGAGGCTGAATTTGAAGCCCTGCACACTGCCCTCTTGGTTTAAAGAGACTTGGTACCAGAGGAGGACGGCTTTAATCGTCCATCTAGACAGCGCTGTGCTGAAGAGGAAGTGCAGGAGGAGGAGTGACAGACAGTTCAGAAAGAGTCGACCGAGGCAGAAAGCGGTTTGGCAGTGGGAAATTTGTTGGAAGCCAACAACTGCAGCACAGAGCAGAATCTGACCTCATTAACACCATCAATGTTTTTAATGATCTGTCAGCGCAGAGCTTAGGGGAAGAACACAACACTGACTAGACATGCTGCTAACAATGTGGCACATGTAGGAGCTTATTATTATTAATCTTAATGCATTTCATTTTTCTCAAAGCTTTTTCAATTGAAATCAATTCCCTCTTTAGTTCCCATTTTGATCATGAGCTCAAACACAAACTCTTTTAAATACTGCAGGTGAGCTGATGCAGTGTGAGGCATGATTTAACTAGGTCACAGACATCAATAGTTCCTGGAGCCTTTTATTAATGAAACAAAATTAATTTACTGTAAACTACTTTGAGTTATTACTGCCTTTTCCTTTATCAGGATGACCTGTGTACTTTCTACAGAGGGAGCTAGAAACAACACACACACTCTACTGGGTCTTCTTGTTTCCATCCTCCTCTGTGAGAGTTATTGCAATGTTCTGCCAGCTGACATCAAACTCCCGGTTTCC